ATGGGGTCAGTGTCCTTGTAAGAACAGTTACCAGAGCCTGCTTCCTTTCTCTGACCTGAGAGGACACAACGAGAAGGTAGCATCTTCAAGCAAGAAAGAGGGCCTTCATTGGGGAATTGAATTGATGGGCACCTTGATTTTGGACTTTCCAGCTGCCAGAACTGTGAGAAGTAAATTCCCTTTGTTTAAGCCATCCAGTCTACGGTATTTTGTTATGGCAATCCAATCTGGCTAAAACAAATATTTTACCAAGTTACTTTTAATTTTTTACTTATAATATATATTTTTTCATTTTTTCCTTTCTTGCCCTGCACTTTCACAGATCAAATTTCATTTGATGGTTTTAAATTCATGCACTGTTTTCAAATGTGTTCTGGTTGCTGCCTCTCCCTCCAATTTTTGTTTTCAATTTACTAATATCTATCTTCCTGTGAGACAAGATAGACACTTTAATACATTCTATGTCCCTGTGGTCCTCAACTCCTTCCACAGACTTTTTCCCTCAGCAAGTTCTTTTTTCTCACAAGACTTTAAAAATTGCATTGCAGATTAAAGGCCTACTGTGAAAAAAAATGAACTTTAAAATGTTAAAGAAATGATAGAATATATTTATGATTTCATATAGGGAAAAATATTTGTAAACCAGATTCCCTCCAAAAAATGTGATGGTGAGTGTTTACATCGTGCTACATAAGCAATGAACCTGCACCAATTGCTTCTTCTGAAATTTAAATGACTAATTCCGAAAGGATCAAATTAAGTTTCACTGGAATAAATCATATTTTGGAAGCTTTCTAAACCATTCTGGCCATGAAGATTGGGAGACTAATAAACAAATTCCAAACTTCATCTGAAGTTCATTTATACTTTGTGGAGTTCAGATTCCTGGCTTCAGTTACACCTAAGCAGCATGAGCAAATAAGCTTGATATTTCTGCTTTTTCAGCTTTCTTCTGTTTCTCAGGCATAAATAAATTTTTGCAATATGAAACTTGTAGTTGATTACAAATGACTGTGAAGTGTGGTCTGCATATGAGGCTTAAGAAAATGGCACAGAAAAAAGAAAACAGTCAGAATTTGAGGTCAATATGATTAAAAACACCATCACAGTTATCAGTGGACCTTATGGGAACCATTCAGTGTGATTTTAGTGCCACCTAGTGTTCTACAGTGGGATAAGGTCTTGGAAGTGAAAACTAATCCGTCACGGGCAAGACTCTGAAATTAGGCAGCTGGCATAAGGCTGTGCACCGACTCAAAGCAGACAGTGTCAAGAAACCGCTGCTGTATTTCTTGTTTACCATCTGGAAAAACAGCGGTGCAAAGAAGCCTTTCTTAGATCTAAGCAATTAGCCAAATATGTACCGGGCCAGTCAACAGAAGTACTCATTCATCTATTAGTTTTAAACATGGAAACCCTGATTTGCGATGGAAACCCTGATTTGGTGAAAATAAGAATGTGATGGTGATATATAAGGGGGCATGGCAATAGCACTTGGGAATAAAAGAGGTCACACACATCTAAGGGTTATTTACATATGCATGAATGAGGTCATATTATGCTCTTCTTAATGCTCAAGTACACTTGAGATTTCAATACATCTATTTTGGAATTGCATGCAGATAGTAGACAAAAACAAGTCAGGACACAAAGATTATAAATAATGCAATCAATATATTTGATTACTATGGTGACATAGACCGATGGAACAGAGTAGAGAACCCAGAAATAAAGCCAAATACTTATAGCCAACTGATCTTCAACAAAGCCAACAAAAACATAAAGTGGGCAAAGGACACTCTGTTCAGCAAATGGTGCTGAGATAACTGGCAAAGCCAGATGTAGAAGAATGAAACAGGATTCTCATCTATAACCTTATACAAAAATCAACTTAACATGGATCAAATTTAAGAGCTGAAACCATAAAAATTCTAGAAGATAACATTGGAAAAACCTTTCTAGACATTGGCCTAGGTGAAGATTTCATTACCAAGAACCCAAATGTAAATGCAACAAAAACAAAGATAAATAGATGGTACTTAAGTAAACTTAAAAGCTTCTGTACAGCAAAAGAAACAGTCCACAGAGTAAATAGACAACCCACAGTATGGAAGAAAATCTTCACAATCTATGCTTGTGACAAAGGACTAATATCCAGAATCTAAAAGGAACAAATCAAATCAGCAAGAAAAATCCAAACAATCCCATTAAAAAGTGGGCTAAGGAGATGAATAGACAATTCTCAAAAGAAGATATACAAATGGCCAACAAACATATGAAAAAAATGCTCAACATCACTAATGATCAGGGAAATGCTAATCAAAACCACCATACGATACCACGTTAGTCCTGCAAGAACGACCGTAATCAAAAAATCAAAAAATAATAGAGGCTGGTGTGGATGTGGTAAAAAGGGAACGCTTTTACTCTGTTAGTGGGGATGTAAACTAGTACAAGCACTGTGGAAAACAATGTGGAGATTCCTTACAGAACTAAAAGTAGGTCTACTGTTTGATCCAGCAATCCCACTCCTGGGTATCTACCCAGAGGAAAAGTCATTATACAAAAAAGATACTTGCACACATGTATTTATAGCAGCATAATTTGCAGTTGCAAATTATGGAAGCAGCCCAAATGCCCATCAATCAACAAGTGGATAAAGAAATGTGATATATATATTAAATTATATGTGATTATATATATAGCTATATATATCACATTTATATATATTTCTTCATATATAGCTATATATAATTATATATATTAATGTATATAGCTATATATATCACATTTCTATCAGGTGTCGACTTGATTGGATTGAAGGATGCTTAGATACCTGGTAAAGTATTGTTTCTTGGTGTGTTTGTGAGAGCATTGCCAGAGGAGATTAATATTTGAGTTATATATATTTCTATTATACATATAATTATATATATGTAGCTATATATACATGGAGAGAGAGAGAGAGCATGGAATTCTATTCACCCATAAAAAGTAATGAAATAACGACATTTGCAGCAACCTGGATGGAATTGGAGACATAACTCAGGAACAGAAAACCAAACCAAATCGTATGTTCTCACACATAAGTGGGAGCTAATCTATGAGGACGCGAAACCATAGGAATGATACAGTGGACTTTGGGGACTTGGGGAAAAGGGTGGGAGGGGGGTGAGGGATAAAGACTACACATTGGGTACAGTGTACACTGCTCAGGTGATGGGTGCAACAAAATCTCAGAAATCACCACTAAAAAACTTATCCATGTAAGCAAACACCACCTGTTCCCAGAAAACCTATTTGAATTAATAAAATAATAATATCCACATCAACCCTACCAGTATTATTTCCCTTTTCCAGGTGAAGAAACTGGGGTTTAGATACTTAAGATATGAGATGGTTAATATCAGGTGTCAACTTGATTGTATTGAAGGATGCTAAGATAGCTGGTAAAGTATTGTTTCTTGGTGTGTTTGTGAGTCAGTGGACTGGGAGAGGAAGATCCACCCTCAGCGTGGGTGGGCACCAGCCAATTGGCTGCCAGCATGACTGGAACAAAGCATGCAGGAGAAGATGAGATAAGCTGGCTTGCTGAGTCTGCTGGCTTTCATCTTTTTCCCGTGCTGAATACTTCTCTGACCTTGGACATCAGACTCCAGGTGTTTTGGCCTTTGGACTCTTAGACTTACACTAGTGGTTTGCAAGGGGCTCTCAGGCCTTTGGCCACAGACTGAAGGCTGCACTGTCAGCTTCCCTGCTTTTGAGGCTTTTGGACTCAGGCTGAGCCACTACTGGCTTCCTACCTCCTCAAGTTGCAGATGGCCTATTGTGGGACTTCACTTTGTGATCATGTGAGTGAATTCTCCTTAAAAATCTCCCTTTCATATATACATATATCCTGTTAGTTCTGTCCCTCTGGAGAGCCCTAATAGAATATATTTATCCAAAGTTCTAGTTGAAAGGTGGCAGTATGACATCTCATAACTTCTAAACAGCTCTATGGAAATACTGTGAAGTCCAGAGTGTCATATGCCTGGCACGTAAGGGTATTTTCCTGGATGCAGGGGATTATTTCTCTTACCCATTTTTCTTTGGAGGCATCTCCACTCCACTTCCCAGTAAGGTATACTGCTTCCCATCCTCCATTCCTGCCTTGTCCCATGGTAGAAGAAGTGAGAACCCAATTGAGAATCTGCCATTCCATGAATCACATTGTCATGAGTGTAGGACCCCAGCATTATAATCCAGGCAGCATAGACCCAATTCTCTCTCATGTTTTGAAGAGAACTGTGTCCAGACACATCAAATACTCATGTTTGTAATTTTCATGACGTAGGCTAAAGAAGCAGGGTCTCTTTTAGGTCTTGCATATCTACCTGCAATATGGTGGACAGGTCAGAGAGGGGCGGATGTCAAGTTCTAGGTTCGAAATAAAGGTAGAAAGACCCTCTCATAATCTTCAATCCCACTTTACTAGTAAGAATTCTGAGCCTATTTTAGTACTTCCTGGTTCTTTGTCAGGCTTCAATTGGTTAAATTCCCAAAGGCAGAAAGACTGATTAATTAAACTCACTCGAACCCCCTGATTATAGAAACCATAGAAACCATAGTAAGTGCCCAAGGCTACTTGAACACAAGTCCAGATTGTTTCTGGAATGTTATTATCTGCCTAGAGTATACGCAAAAGCTGAGTAACTCTAAAACATGCTGGTTTCCCCTCTATTTGACAACTCTTTAAGAGGACTTTTTAAATGATGTCCTATAATGAAGTTCACAGAAGACTAACAAATTACAGTCTTACCATGAAATGGACTGGAACTGAACGTAATGAGACAATGTGAAATTTCAAAAGACTGTGGAATGAATTACAAGTGGGTCAATGGTAGTCACCCCTTAAATGAATGGTTTGACATAATGAAGTCTAACTATAAAGTGATGATTGATGTAAGAACAAATGCGAAAAAGGAAGAACAGCTACTAATTCTTCTGTTTTCATCCAGGGCGAATGTTCAACCTGACATCAGAAGAATAACACAAGCACAAAGACACATTCTTAACTGAAAAAATGGTGGCAGGAGGTAACTGAGATAAGGTAAAAAGACTCATTTGTCTGGGACATTTTAAATGGATACCTGCTGCTTCTTTTAGATTCTAGATTCTAGAGGTCTTGCTTAAATTGATGACGTGAGATAGTCATAAGGCCTATGCTTTCATACAATCAGGCGGGAATAACAGATTCTCTTGGGATCATCTAGTGAGATCACAGCCCATCAGTTTGTTCTCTGCAGCTTCTGGGAAAGCAAAACTTTATTTGGGTTGTGAGAATTCTCCCTGAGTAAGTGTAATGGAGGTGAAAGGGATGTCTGGCAGGTAGGTTTGTTTCTTAAATTACTTTGAGGATTAAAACTTGCTAATCACACATCATTTAACAAGTACAGTCAGAAGATACTTTGAAATTATTCCCAATTTATCTGCATAGCATTAGTAATATTATGTAAAGAATATAGGATACTTTTCCTATCTGTTGTATTTTGATATTAAATTATACCAAGACATAAATCCTTTCCAATATTATGTAAATATGTATTCAATCAACCTTGGAAAGGTTTTGAGTAGTAGGGAGAAAGAGGTTAACTGTACAATAAATGGGAAAAGATAAACATCTATCAATTCAACACAACCAAGAAATTAAATATTCAGATTACAAGTAGGGATATTGGTGGAAAACAATTTGAAGTGAAAATCCTAGTTTAGAATATGCATTAAAGGGAGTAATTAACACAGAGAAAAATGTAAACATTGCTTCTAATTTACTAGCAAAGTTTGAATGATACGATTTCAGAATGTCTTTTATGTAGTAAGATTTACTGTCAAACAGATATGTACTTTTGTGTGTATGTGTGAGACGGGGTCTCGCTCTGTTACTCAGACTGTCACACACAGCTCACTGCCGTCTTCACCTCCCTGGTCAAGTGATCCTCCCACCTCGGCCTCCTGAATAGCTGCGACTACAGGCACGCACCACCATGCCCAACTAATTTGTGTGTCTTTTGTTTGTTTGTTTTGTTTTTGTTTTTTTGTGTGTGTATAGACAGGATTTCGCTGTGTTCCCCAGACCAGTATCAAATTCCTAAGCTCAAAGGACCCGCCCACCTCGGCCTCCCAAAGTGCTAAGATTGAAGGCATTCACCACCTCACCCAGCTTACTTTTACGTATTGTAAACTCTCTGGGGCTATTGTCATTTCTTCTGACAATCTTAGACAATGGAATAGGACAATTGGTAATTTACAAACTGGTATTTTGTAAATTAAGCATATATCTAAATCGAGTCTGCATGTATTCACATCTACAGTTGCCTCCTCCTCCTCCTCTCACTGTCAATTTCTTGCTCCTCCAGGACTAATCCAGTTTGAAAAACTAAAATATATTGAAGCCACTTAAAGTGTCTCTGAAAGAAAAAAAAAAAACTGAATACTTTTAACCTTAAAATGTCTCAAGAGTGCCTTCGATTGTCTTTTGCCTCAACAAAAGCAAAATAATTGACAATTTGAGGTGAATCAACACTAGTTCTTTTTTCCTTTGCCAATCTTAAAACACACAAAAAGTTGTTATAGACATACCATAGAGATATTAGATTCCTATTGCTTTTGTAGCAAATTTCTAGAAATTTAGTCACTTAGAGCAATACAAATTTATTATTTTAGAATTCCGGAGGTCAGCAGTCCTGCAAATCAAGGAGTGCACAGGGCTGCAACTTTTTGAGACTATAGAGAATCATCTGCTTTCTTGAGCTATCTAGCTACTAGGGGCCTTCTGCATTCATTGGCTCATGGCCCCTTACTACATTTTCAAAGACAACAGTATCATCTCCAAAACTCTTTCTCTGGCTCTGACATCCCTGTCTCCCTTTTATAAGAACTCTTGTGATTATATTGGGTCAACCCAGCTAATCCAAAACACTTTCCCCATCTCAAGATCCTTAATGTAATTACATCTGCAAAGACCATTTTTTCTAGACAAATAACATTGACAGGTTCTGAGGATTGCAAGGTGGACATCTCCAGGGGGAGCATTATTCTGACTACCACAGTAGAATTTAGAAACTTGAGAATAAATGTAACGTGGTTTGGAGAAGAGAAAGAAAGATGAATGTAAAGAGAGAAAGGCCCTTTTGGAAACAATTCAATTCCTTTCTTATCACTGAAATTACAGTGAGAGAGGTTACTCTAATTCCTGTGAGATGTTAAGTGGGAAACAAGTTCAGTTAAGGCAGAAGTCAGACTTTTTCTAGACAGTAATTTTCTGATATGGACCATGAGATATTTAAACAACTTATAGATGTAAATTGTCTTCCCCTTTTTTAATAACTGCCTTACCTGTCCTTCTATGGCTTTGTAAATGGAAGTCAGAAAAAGAATGGTTAAAAACTTCATATTTCATACATTCTGTAAAGGGTATCTCTTTATCCAATTTCATGATTGTATTCTATTCTAAACACCTTTACTCCATATCATGTGTCTAGACACTAGTGTTTTTCAAGGCTGTGTCTACAATCTATCCTACGGGTTATTCTTCCTAATACATGTTGTTTATTGGGTCACTTTTTTTCTTCAACTCCTTAAATTGTACCACTTAACTGACTCATTGGCTAATCAATTATTTCATTTAATAGTTCATTCTACTGATATTTTATTGGCCTGGGAAGGGTTTGTGCTAAATACTGAGCAGAAGGAGGGAGGCAGTATAGTACACACACACAAAAACTATAAATGCATGCATTTCCATAGCCTATTCCACGATCACTCCCAATGAGAAGTGTTTTGTTGCTTTAGGGAGGTGACAATGTGTTACTAAGTGATGAAGATCATTGACAGTGAACCCCGACTTTGCAGGCTCAGACAGAGTCTCAACCATTTATCATCCTTAAGATCTTGACAAGTTACCAACTCTTTTGGCCTTCACATTTTTTCCTCAATAAAATCAGAATTGTCTTAGCACTAACCTAATGGGTTGTTTTGAAGTTTAAATAAGCCAACCCATATAAAGTGTTTAAATCAGTGCCTGACACATAAGCAGCCCTCAGTAGATGTTAACCATTATTACTTCCCAGCTCTCACTTATTTCTATAAAGATTATCTTCTAACCAGAAAGCGTCATACTTATTCTAATAAGTAAGTCAATGGAAGAAAAAGCTGGGGAAGAAGAAAAGCTAGTGGGATTTGTTTTGGCTGGAGCACAGATTTTCGTGGGAGAGAAGAAAAGGGAGAGAAGAAATGGAGAGGTATAAGAAATATTGAAAGAAATAATTTTAAAGAAAATGTCATACTAATATTTCAAGCCTTTAGAATTTTTAAGGGAATGTAGTCAAGATTAAAGTTGTTTTATTTACTTACACTTGGTAGATGACTATTTTTTCATTCATTCATTCACCAAATTCTTAATGAGCTAAAAGCCATGAGTCACATTCAGTGCTAGGTACTTGAGATAATCATGAATGAAAAAAGAACAAAGTCCATGTCAGTCTTTAGTTTCTGTTCAGAAAGAGTGACAGAAATTCTTTAAATAACTCATCATATTAAATTACTAAACACATTAAACTACTAATGTGGCAACTGCTATAATTGAAAAAGTAGGGGAGTTTAATCTACTCAGGGTGGTCAACAAAGCTGTCTCTGGGCTCTGAAGGATGAATGAGAGAGGAAGCACAGCTTGTTCTAGGAGCTGCAGGAAGGCGTATGTGACTGGGATGCATTCAGTGAGGTGGGTTCTGGAGTGACCAGACTAGAAGGGTAGAAAGATGTCAGACCAGGTAGAGCCATGCAAGTTGCATTAAGGATTTTGATATTTATTTTTAGGACAAATGGGTTGATGTAATCTGTCTTTTAGGTACTGTGAAAACATTTTTTCTCAAACGGAGACTGCTTGAAATAGAACAGAATATGTGAATGGACCAAGGTGTGCACAGAGCTGCCCCCTTTTGGAGACTTGGGAAAATCTGTTTCCTTTCTCCTTCTAGCTAGTAGGGACCTTTGTATTAGGAAGCCATTGCATTAGTCCAAGTGAACACTGCTAGTAGTATGGAGTAGGATAGCAATATTGCAAATGTAGGTGAGTATACGGACTTGAAAGCTATTTAAGCATGAAATCAATAGGTTCCATTAGTCATAATGGAATAGTTGTGAGGATCAAGGAGAGGAAAGAACCATAACAACTCCAAAGTTTCTAGCTTAAGTAACTAGTTGGTTATATAACAGTTGCATTCCTGGATAGACTGGAGGGAACTAGAAACTGGTTTGGGATTTATTTTTGCCTCTCTAACAAATTTGTCTTCAAAGTGAAAGCGGAGTTTACCTAGGGTTAAAATATCAACCTAAAGAGAAGAGAAGAGTGTTGGTTAGCTATGAATATGTAACACTGAAATTTACTGTTGACAGGCATGCAAGTTGGCCAGACTTGAGTTGTGATTCGGGGGAAAATGTTGTTTATCAAGGTAAAAGACATAAAGTGTTCTGTACATTTTTTTCTCCTTTGTTCTTTATTCTTATTACCTAGAGAAAGAGAAACTTTTCTGTAAATTTGCAAACTAAACAATAACAATATTTTCATCCTGTTTGGAAACCCAATTTCTAAAGCAGTAGGAGCTTTTCTTGGCTGGGATGAGAAGGTCAATACTAAACAAGGCTGGATGACTCTGAAACCATCTTGCTGCTCTGCTGTTTAAGGCCAGGTCTCTGGAGATGTAGCTGATGGTGTGGAATTGAATATAGTTAGGGCTGTTTTGTACTAGAGACTGAAGAAATTTGTAGTTAGTTCTGTGCAAACAGAAGGAGAAACAGAATTTGGGTGAAGAGAACAACAAGCCCTTTTAATAGAAGACAGATGGAAAGTATTTAAAAAGCACAAAGATGCTGCCATTTGTGTAAAGGCCTGCAGGATCAGACACTGGTAAACAGTATTTCAGCAGAGGATACCCTGAATACACTAGAGGTAGCACAGTAACTTGGATTCATATGCAAAACTTATGACTCCTTAAACAGTAAGAGTAGACATAGTCTACCTTATGAGTTCAGAGAGAAGAAACTTCTACTCTG